GAGAGAGAGAGAGAGAGAGAGAGAGAGAGAGAAACATCGATGTGAGAGAGACACCAATTGGTTGCCTCCCACACAAGCCCCAACCGGGGCCAGGGATCGAGCCTGCAACCAAGGTACGCGCCCTCGGCTGGAGTCGAACCCTACCTGAGACCATTCGGTCTGAGGGCTGACACTCCAAACACTGAGCCAAACCCCAGCTAGGGCTATGCTGCAGGCTTTTAATGTCATTTTTCTAACAAGCTGTTACCAATCTTTTTTCCCTTAAACCTTTCTACTGAAATGGATCTCAATCGAGGCTTACCCTCTCACTTCCCATAATGCTGCTTTTCTAAAACCCACGTGTTTAGAAACATAAAATGAGACAAAGTAGTGAAAATGTGGATTAAACAAACTCTGTAAAATCCCATTTCTTAGGGCACCTGTTTTATGAAGAAATACTAATCTTCAAAAAAAACCAAAAAACTAGCATTAGTTTAGAATGTGTATTTTACCACAAAGTTTTACTTCTAAGGAATAGGTAAAAATTATAACCATAGGAAAACCACCACTAAATGAGTATATTCAATATTTCACACATTTCATTAGGAAAATCCCATAGTGATTCTTGCTGAACCCACCCATTTAGAAGAATAATTTTAACCTTCTTAGGCCATCTTAAAATATAAAGACAATGCTTTTCTTTTGAAGGACACAAAAAATTGCTTCAAAATCATGATTCTTGCTTTATCTCACATAGTAAGGCAATAGGTTTCATGAGTGATTAAAAATAAAACTCAGAAATGTCTCTTTTTTAAATATCTAGGGAAAAGAAAAATATATTACAACATGACATTTAAATATTTTCATGCTCAAGGCCAGATTCTAATTCATGATGACCAGCAAATAGAAGAACCCATAATTTAAATGAATAGTACCAAAGGTAACTATAAGTGGGCTCTGGTGCCAAAAGATGATAAAAGTATATGCATTAAAGTATTAAAAGGTTTAGGTGCATACACAGGACACGCATATATATACAGTCTTTATATATCCCCCTTTCTATTTAATTAACCATAATTACAGTTTCTTTTCTTAATTTTATACTTATCTATACTTTCTTACATACTCATCATCAGAAATCTAGAGCTAAAAATGTTAATAAAACATCTGCAATGTTCATGGGGTTGAAAAGCTTCAAGGTCAAGTGATGCTTAGGGCAACGCTTTGTACCTCAGCATCTTCATAGAGTTATTCAGAGTTTAAAGACACAAACCCTGCTCCAAAGTACCCTAATTCTAACAGAGCACCAAACTGTCTAAACTAAGAAGGAATCACTTCTAAAAAGCATGGTCCTGGAAATCACTGTAAAAGTGGAAGACACTGACCCGGGTTTTAAAAAGCGAACAAGGTGTCTACAGGAAAAGGGATGAAAGGTGTTCCAGGCATGGGGAATGAACTGGGCAGGGGCAGAACATTGAAATGCGCACTGGGTTTGTGTTTAGAGAACGGCCCCAAATCTGAAATATCTGAAGCAAAGAGATGAACACTTGCTGTTGAGTAGTAGGAGCTGAGACTAGAAAAGTTAAGTATGTGCCAGATGATGGAAGGTTTTCAAAATACCCAGCCTAGGTGTTTGGTGGCAACAATGAGTCCCAGAAGATAACTAAACAGTAAAGAGACAAGCACAGCAATGCTTTAGAAAAATTAACCCCCTGGTCATGGGCAAGATGGTTTGGATGGCAATGAGGGGTGGGAGGGGAGCGTCAGTGTTACAATGCAGACCGAGGGTGAAGGGAGTAGGCCTTAGTGTGGAGGGAGGCATGGTAATGGGATCTAACAGCTCTTACGGTAAAGGGGGAAAAGAGGATTCCAAAATAACCCAAATGTGAACTTGAAGGAACAGAACAGAATCTACATGGTTCGTGGAGTTTGATTGTTGTGGAGGCACAGTATATACTGGAGGAAAGTGCATGGTCTAACCTGAGTTACTTTTTAATTCTCAAGGGTAAACTTACAGCCATACAGATAATACTCAAAATTTCAATTCATCAGGAAGCATGGCTTTCACGCAGGGCCAAATGCTGCACGCAGTTATCCACACACTGTTCCACTGACTCCAAAAGAAATTACATGCTTGGAACTAATGGTAGATTAGTTGATACATCTGATAAGGGGTTAATATCCAAAATTTATAAAGAACTTATAAAACTCAACACCAAAAAACCAAACAACACAATTTAAAAATGGGCAAAGGATCCTAATCGACACTTCTCCAAAAAGGGCATACAGGTGGCCAATACACACAAGAAAAGTTGCTCAATGTCACTAAACATCAGAGAGATGCAAATTAAAACGGCAATGAGATACCACCTCACACCTGTCAGAATGACTACCATCAGCAAATCCACAAACAAGTGTTAGCAATGATGTGGAGAAAAGGGAGCCCTCGTTCAGGGTAGGTAGGAATGCAGATTGGTGCAGCCACTGTGGAAAACAGTATGGAGTTTCCTCAAAAAATTAAAAACTGAACTGCCTTATGACCCAGTGATTCCACTTCTGGAAATATATCTGAAGAAACCCAAACACTAATTCAAAACTATACATTCACCCCTAAGTTCATTGCAGCATTATTTACAGTAGCCAAGATTTGGAAGCAGCCCAAGTGCCCATCAGTAGATGAGTGGATAAAAAAGCTGTGGACATTTACACAATGGAATATTACTCAGCCGTAAAAAAGAAAAATCTTACCCTTTGCGACAGCATGGATGGACCTGGAAAGCATTATCTGAGTGAAATAAGCCAGTCAGAGAAAGACATGTACCATATGATTTCACTCATATGTGGACTCTAATGAACAAAAGAAACTAACAAACAAAATAGAAACAGACTCATAAATAGAGAACAGACTGAGGGCTTATGGGGGGGTTGGCTGGGTGAAAAAGGTGAAGGGATTCTGCAGAAAACAAACAAACAAAAAACTCTCATGTTTTTTGAGAGTTTGGTGATTACCATGGGAAAGGAGGGTGGAGGTAGGTAGAAGAAAGTAAAGGGGGATAAATGGCGATGGAAGGAGATTTGACTTTGGGTGGTGAACACACAATACAATATACAGATGATGTATCATAGAATTGTACACCTGAAACCTATATAATTTTATTAACTTATGTCACCACAATAAATTCAATAAAAAAACTTTAAATAAAATACAATGACATCGCAGGGACTGACTTGCAACTTCTCCAATCATAACCTGCCTTGCCTCAGAGAATTTGTTAAAAAAATAAATTTTGGCTTTACATGTACATTTGTAAGCCAACAATGTGACCCTTCCTAAGATAAAAACTAGAAAAATGTAGAGCATTTTGTTCTGATTTTTCAAAACTCAGAAAGAAGATACTGCATCTCCACTGAGGCACCAGGAGTTTCATTCTCTCATACCCAAGATTACCTGAGCGCATGTTCCACTATTACTTACATACATTCATTATATGTAATCAGCTCATTCACCTTTTAAACTAATCATATAATCAGAATTAAGAAACATAATACATACTATGTACTAAATATATACACTATTTCATTTTTCAGAACATATGACATATAAGCTTTAATTCATTTTTCTTAAAATAGGAACATCTACTGAAAAGTCTGATACCTTCTTACTTGTCAACAATGTGTTCAAAACTAATAGGGTAAATTCTTTCTTTAAATTGACAAGATAGACAAATAATTCCTTTTAAAATATGCATCTTTATCTACTTTGATAGTATCCTTAGATTTGGATATTCATTCAAATTACCATGTTCATTTAAAGGAACAAACTTCTTATCCAAAGCCAACCCAGCTACAGATACCAGGTGTCAACAGTTACCACATCACCAACGTACAGACATAATTTTTGTTAGATTCAATGTGAAACTGACAAGTCTAATCAATTCTAAGAAAAAAGTATGGCAATTCATGGAAGGGGAGAGAATATACTACCAGATGAAAGGAGGATTTCCTTCGCTCTATAGTAAACACACTATATGCACATACATCCAACTTTAGAAAGGATTTTTTTCTAATAAATTCAATTTTAGTTTTAAAAATCAGCATCTGTTTTATCTAGGTACAAGCAATTACTCAATTTGTTTTGTTTCTTAGAAAAACGCAAAATAATCTTCTCCTGAGTCCTTTGTATTCAGCAACTGCAAAAGCAGTGATTTAATACCAGGCATATTTTGAGCCCAGCCAGAAGCCTTTGGGGTGGCTGTAACGTAATGAGGTCAGAAGCAGCACAAGGTGTACCGGTGTAATGAGAGAATCAGGCAGAGGGAAAAGCAGATAGCAGCGAGTCAAAGCGCAGCGATACAAACACCGTGCAGGGCTTCCCTCCAGTTACCACACAAGCTGCTCAGCCAGTTTCAGTGAGTTACTTGGCTCCCAGGGAAAACGTCCCTGCCACTGGTGAGCCATCCTAACTGCGAAAGGAGCTGCGGTATCGTCCTTTGTCACATTTCTGCTTCCTGCCAAAGAATGTAAACTTGGCAGAAATATTTTGATGGCTATTAAAACATCATAATCTTTGTGTTTAAAAAGGACTCGGCATGATTCTGAGAAAGACGTGCTGTTCCTGGTTCTTTAAAAATAATTCACGATGATTACCATAATTCCTAAATGAGCTATCACAGAGTGGAACAGTGAGAATCAGAGGAAACAGACAACACAGACTCGCAGAGAACTCTCTTCTTAGGGAAGCAGAAATTTCTTAAAACAGTAAGCAACTGTTTATTTTGCTCTTACCTGATGGCAGCTCGTTTAACCAAGGGTATGTCCTTTATGGAGGTAGCTTATCCTTTGAAGAACCCAGTGGCTTGTCCCACAGCCCCAGAGAGACTGGAGTTCTGGAAAACTATCCAGCCCGAAAGAATACAGACTAAAAGGCTTTTCCCACTTTCTTTCCCAGGACCAGCCAATAGCTGAAGTCATGCAGGAAACAGAGAGAAGGGGAAAGCACCGTCTTCTCCCTGAAATCCCGATCAGCAGCAATGGGAGGCTGTTGTCTATCTCCCACCCAGACTTTTGTTTAAAAGTTTTTTCAACTGTTGCTAGGTGTTGTTGGGTCCTGAGATTAGGTTTCTCGTCTTCTGCTCCCTCCTGCTCACCGTCAGAGCAGTGACTTTGTTGAGGAGCTGGCTCGCGTGCTATATTTAACCAGTGTTCTCAGCAAGTCAAGCCTGTCAACAGCTGAGAAGTTTGGAGCCGGCTTTACTCGGTTCCTCGGCAGCTGGGTTATCAGTGGCTGGAGCTCTGCTCACCCTGTAAAAGATTGCGGGGAAACCGGCAGTCCCTTTTAAGGACTTCTGCTCATTGCACAGAGGTAATTATTATTTGAAGCTCTTAAACACAGAGTGTGATTTGGGACTTGGGTTTTAAAATCTGAAAAGAAACAGCAGCTGTTGCCTTGAGCNCTCTTAAACACAGAGTGTGATTTGGGACTTGGGTTTTAAAATCTGAAAAGAATTAAACAGCAGCCGTTGCCTTGAGGAGAGCATTTTACCAATACAATATTCTTCTCAATTAGCCTTCCTTAGATAAATGTTCTTAAATTTAAAAAAGAAAAAAAAGCTTTCATGTAGTAAAAGTGTATCACAACTGTTGGGGAAATTCACAGTAAGAGATTATTTCCGGACCTGTTTTGTATTGATGTGTGACATTCCTAGCTAGGTGACTGACTTTGTCACATCAGACTTGACCAGCTTATACACCTGAATGTTATACAAGTAAGGTTACCGTAAAGGAATGTCTGGAGCATTGTTTTTGAAAGGAGTAAAGTTAAGAAAGAAAATCTTAGCGTTCTCACTCAGATCATTCATTCAGAGTAAGAAATGAAGAACACTCCAGGAAAACCAGGGCTCGAAACACCTCTGGGTGTTGACAGCTTTGCCTCATTATTAACCCTCCAGTCTCCAACATGAAGAATGTCTCGAGATATTTTATTTACTTTACTTTATATAATAAAATAGTGTGAATCTGCCAAGATTAAGACACATGAAAAAAAGTTTTAACTAACTAGTTCTTGGAACTTTCTAACTAATTACTTATATTAAATTAACAGCAACAGGAACTGAGAGATCCTTTTAGCCACAGGTAAAGTGAGAGGTAACAAACACCCCCCCCCAATATTGGTTAACACACTAGAATATTGCCCTGACAAAAATCTCATTAACACCAGTACAAAGGTGCCCCCCTTCCTGAGATCAATTTATCAGTTCAAAGAAAACCTTTGTTTGACATGCAAACTGAAGTTGTACCAAGAAGACATTTAAAGGCATGGATTTAATAGTATCTTAAGTGTTTCATACTTGCAATAAGTAGCTTATGTGCTGGGTAATCCTAATGTCTCTCTGGGAAGGTTAAAGAGGGTGGGGGGGGGTGTCCTTTTTAAAGAAACGACCCTTACCTCCAAGGTTAGCTCACCCCCAACACCTCAATCCATTAGAAAACATCTCAGTTCTTCCCATCCCAGCCATCACACTAACAGCATTCATTTTTTCCCTCTTAATTTATTTGCTACTATTCACATATAAAATTGCATTTGTTCAGATTCTTATGGGCCTGGGCCAACCTTCATTTAAAAAAAAAAAAAAAAAAGACTCTATTAAGATGAAAGTGTTCTTACGTGAAATTAACTGACTCTTCTAGAACACTAATGGACCTTTTAGAAACAATCTCTTCGCAGTTCCTAAAAAGTGGGTTTTGACAGGAGGTGGAAGTGTGTGGCTGGGCCATGAGATAGTTCAGAATCTCAAGGAGTTTTCAAAAATTACAAAAGGTTAGCATCTGGGGAGATTATTGTTTGAAAAATGCTCCCACCCCCACATATATCCCCTATGCAACAGCCCCAGGTTGAAATCCACTTCACTAAAAAAGGACTCCAGGAATGCATCATTTCACCCCCACTCAGAGTTCACTTTATCCATGTCTCCCATCCAAAACGAAGTAGAGCCCTTTGTAGCCAAAGTTGAGGTAACAGAGGGGAAATAACCCACTTTGCCTCAATGGGCCTAAACAATTTCATGGAGATGGCGATAGTTATTTCTTCCCTGACTCTCCAGACAATTAGGGTTTTCAGTGTTTTTTTCTTTTTTCTCTGTAATAAAAACCTACTCTCCCACCGTTGTTTTCTTCAACCCTTAGATTAGCTTTTCATTGTTGTTATTAGTTTATTTTAAACAATGTGGTGACAAGCAGCATACAGGGTACTTCATATAATTAGTTCGGTTGCTACCTTTAGATTATGTTCTTTAATTGCACTAGGCACGTGTGCTTGTCTGCCTCGATATTCCACAATAACCCGTCTCTTCTCATTCCCTCCCTCCCCCCTTCCCCCTCCAATCACACATGCATTCTCTCTCTATAGAAAGTGGGCTTATTTTGAAGGCTTTCCCCACGGGAATGATTATTCAGACAAAAGCATTTCCTACATAATCCACAGAGGAAGCAGTGCCATTAAGAACTTCTAGAAACTTGTGTTTTGTATACAGTCCACAAGGAACTGATTTTCAACACATATTGTTAATGTGTTACTGTTCAGCTACATTCTTTTCCCACAGTCTTAAGGGTGGTCTGATAAACGTATAACTAAAGCTGAATTTCCCAACTTCAAGGATTAGTCATGACTCCTCCTTGTAAGAAGACAGATTAATATTATCAGTGAGAAAAAATCGAATTAAATAAGAGAGCTGGCATATTATCTCTACATCCATTTCTAAAACCAAATTTTACCACACTTGTTCATTTAAAGAGGCATAGTGATTTTTTTAAGTGAAAAATTAATAAATTATTGAATATACCAGTGAAGAGAAAGATAGACATTTGCTTCAAAATGATGTTGGGGGGAGGAGGGATCAGAGAGGAGTTTCCAAACAAACATGCCCTGTTATTGTTTATTGCCTGGCTCTAAGACTTAAATATAAGTTCCCAAGTAGCAGGAATGTTTACTATTTGTTCCTTCCTGAGTACTCAAGCACCATAGTAAGTGTTCAATAAATGGGAATGACTGAATGAACAAATGAACATATAACAGATTAAAGAAAAGATGAAGAAAACTTCAGAGCATGTTATTGGTAAACTTATGGAAAATGCTTCCAGGCTCTCCGGACAGAGTTGGGTCATTACTGGCTGCATATTACAAATTATAGAAAGAAATGATCAGATTGTGAATTATTTTGAATTTTGTTAAAATTTCAAAGGAAAGTAATAGATTTTAGGATAATAATAAAAACACCTGTGCAAGACTAACTATATGCCCAGCAGAGTTCTAAGGGCTTGACATATACTAACCCACTTAATTTTCATAATAATCCAATGAGGTAAATATTATTAGCATGCCCCATTTTACAGGCAAAAAAAACTGAGGCATAATGTTATTAAATAACTTGACCAAGGTCACATGCTACTAAGTAGCAGAATCAGAATTTGGATTAAGAAATCTGATTCCCAAAATTTGTGTTCTGAACCACTTACCTGCCTCCTACATTTAACGGTCACATTAGCCCATTCTTTGCAATCACTGAGAGCAAAAACATAGAGACTTTGCTATACCTGAAGATATATGCTTCTGACCAAAAAAATACATTTAAAATTCCACAGCTTTGAGGCAATAGAAAAAAAAGTGGCAAAATTTCATGGTCGGTATATAGTAAAATAAAAGCTCATTGGAACTGAAGTCTTATTGAATACCAGAGAACAGAACATTGGACTAAAGAAAAGATAATTGCTTCTAGAAAAAATGGTCTATTTTTAAGCAAAGGATATGAGCTGTTCAGTATTCTCTCTAAAACAAACAACACATGATGTTTTATGATGAATGAGTTCACTGCTTAATGAGATTCTAAAATTACGTTCTAAAAATATAATTTTGGTCTGTGATTTGATAAGCAATTTAAAAATGTTTATGGGCTATGCATTCACAACCAAAACTTCTCAAGGATGTAACCAACAGCAAGAAAAACAAAACAACATTTGGCGGGGGTTGGGGGGGGGGAATCATTCTACATTAGCTAGTTCTTTGATATCAAAATGATACTGTGTTACCCTTGCTACAGTCAGGCTTTACAATTTGAACATACTTGCATTTTCTATTAATCTAGCTATACATCTATTTAAATATTAAAAACTTTAAAAAGAAATAAAACTAATACTTTTTAATATCTACAAATTTTCATAGTAAAATAACTACTTGGCCTTGTTTACAGATAAAATAAATACTGTGTCACACCTACATTTATTAATAAAAACTTCAATTAAATTATTTCTTTTCCCAACAGCTTTAAAAAAAAAAGAGCCAGGCCCAGCCGGGCGTGGCTCAGAGGTTGAGCGTCGACCTAGGATCCACGCGATCGGGGTTCGATTCCCGGTCAGGGCACATGCCCGGGTTGGGGGCTAGGCAGCCGATCAATGACTCTCTCATCATTGATGTTTCTATCTCTCTCTCCCTCTCCTTTCCTCTCTCTGAAATCAATAAAGATATATTTAAAAAAAAAAAAAAAAGAGCCAGGATTAGGTTTTTAAAATGTTACAAGATAATACTATTTTCGCATTTGCTTAAGTAAAATAAGCACTTACATGCATATATTAGACCTTAAAATTCCCACTTCTCTGTTTCTGTGCTTGAAAGTGGGTTAATAGAACTTAATCCTGAACGTTTTTACAGGGCCATAATCATAGCCAATGAAAATTCATTATACTTGGAGCTTTCCGTTTTCTTCAATGGACTCTTCATTTGCAGCAGCCCCTCCCAAATCCATAAAAGAGCAGTCCTCTCCTTTTTTCTCTGGACTTGGGGTGGTTCCGTATTAGACTGCATGTCCAAAATTGCAATTCTTTGCTGTTCCTAAATAAACCTCTTTTGCTGGAGAAATATCTGGCTGTGTACTCATTAAAGGTCAACAATATATAATGCCTAAGAGTCCTTACCCTCTGGAATATTTACAGGTAATATCGTACAATGTCTGGGATTTGATCTAAATAATTCAGTGCAAGGAAAAAAAAAGCAGTGTGCATAAGCTGACAATTACTGAAGCTGGGTCATGGGTAATCATTCTATTACTCTCTCTACTTTTATACAGGTTTAAGTTTTCTAT